GATATCCCCAGCGGACCGCGAATATCGGTAGGGGCACGTCGGTTATCACAATGGGTTATGGGAAAATCTTTGGTTTTATTGCTTATGAACAGTTTTGTTCTTGTTAGACGCCGTTTTGTTGTTGTGCACCCGATTCTAGATAATAGTTGATGAGACGGACATGTCGAGTGGCCAGCTGACCTCTCGTGGTGTGCTCAACTGTCGTGCGCTGACGATGTTGGCAACCCAACGCAAACTCACCTACGATTTCCAGTTCTACAGTCAGGACTGGGACAGTGATGTACGTGTCCTCCTCCTCTCAACTTGCGCCTCAATCATCAGGGTAAGCGTTTGCCCTTACATTGTGCTCCGGTCAATCATTAATATACATCTTTATCTACTTATTTTATTATAGTAGGTTGTTTATTTAAAATTGGCCTTCCTCCTACCGTTCAGGACATCGTGAACGAACCGCGCGGTCAAGAATATTTTAACTACGATTAACTGAGAAACAAGCGTTTTATTCCCACCCGACTTGTTGTATTCCCAATTAAATGCATCATCAGAGAAAAGGAGCGAATGCCGCAAGTTGCAGTATCTATGGGATTCAATTGCTATCCATCCAAATAGTTATGAGCAGGAGCCGTTTACGCCTTCGTCGGCGATGATAGTAATGGGTGTGGTGACTGCTTTGTGGCCCCCCGAGTAGTCGGCTCTCGCAATTTTATCTCCAATGTAGGTTATCAACGAGACAATTAGGCGGCACTTGTAATTATTAATGCTGTCTTCAAAAAATCTTCGTTCGCGCCCCCCTGCCTGGCTAATTACGGACTACGAAAACGTGCCTTCATTGCCCTGGTTAATATATCGGAGGTTCATGAACCAATACGCAAGAATTTCTGGCTCACGCGATTGTCACCCCTCGGGGGAATTTAAGCCTTTCAAACTTATAGGTGTGGCCGGGTCCTTTTGAAAGCCCCAGGAATTGAGAGTTGGCGTCAGTCATACACACTTCTGCTGCATTTTCGACGGTTCGCGCCCGTAGCAGTCTCTCTGACATAGTTGCTTTGATTGCAACTACACCAGAGCCGGTAAACTTTACAAGAAGTAATCTGCTGTGGCAGTGGGTCTTTTGGTTTCATTGCCTGTTGTCTGATATGTTCATGTGCTCTGTGTACAGCACCAACTCCTCGTAGTCCTAACTTCGTTGCAATGGTCAGTTTTTGGTAGACAGAGTTGAGAGGGCGAAAATCAGTGCAAGCCCTAGTGTGCTCCGAGCCCTAACATGTAATCTACCCGAAATATCATAAATCTGGGCTGACACTCCTAATTGAAATCGAGCGCTAACTTGAATCAGTATCACCTCGGAATAGTATTGAAGTCAGTACTAGTATCATTCAGTTGCATCACTTGT